GACTGAGGCTCACAGCCTGTAGACTGGCTAACCAGAACTTCTTTGACCCCTGTTTCTTCACAAACCCCCAGAGTGGGTGTCTTGAAGAACCAGTGTCCCCCTCTATGATTCTCAGGGGCTCTGTAGTTAAAGATGATCCAACCTGTCAATCTAAAGTGGGATGATAAGAAGACTTACTTGGCCATATGAGCTGTCCTCTAGCAGGCTAGCTCAGTCTCACTCACAGGTAGCCACAGGATTCCAAAAAAGTGAAAGGACAAACCCCGGGGCACAAGGCCAAGCCAAGCCTCTGCATGCCTGTTTGAAAGTGTTCCCCTGGCCAAAGCAGGTCACAAAGCCAAAGCCAGACTCGAGGACTGCGGAAGAGAGCCTACCTCTTTATAGAGTGAGCTGAGAGCATGGGGGCATGGAAAGGGAACGCGCTCCTGGGTTTGTGGAGAGGTCTACCACAGAAATAAGCCACTGTCCAACAATAGGGGGCACTTAGAAAACTCCCCTGGAGGCTTGGAGGCCTAGACCACTACAAACACAATTAGAGAAGATTGTGCTGAGGGAAGTAAGTTCTTGTGTGTCATCAAGTCAGAAGAGAGAGTTAGAAAAGTGTGCAGTCCTTTGGAAACCACCAGATTGTCACAAAAGTAAAACTGGACAATACCAGTGGCAGGTGGAGCAATGGTCCAGACTGGTGGGAAGTAGCCTGTGTGGCCATCCCCCAGCAGGGACACCATTCACTCAGTCCCTTAGACACTGAACCCTTGTCCTGGGCCAAAAGGCTCTGGAGGGGGAGAGACACAAATTCACTAGGAAAAGCAGAAGTTCCCGAATAGAGCCAGCATCCATCTGCAGGAACACAGGGTATAATTACAGGATACAGCACCTCCCAGCAGGAGGGAAAATGACCCTAGGCTTGAAGCCAAGCCAGGATATGCAATCTACATAGACCTGGAAACAGTGAGCTGGAAACAGTGGGCAGAAAAGCACATCCCACAGAAGACTGCCTGGCTGCCTTCAGAAAATGCAAACGTATCTGTATCGGTTGCATGTATCTACAGGGACTGAGCAGCTCTGTGAAGGTGCTAAAGGCATGCCTGCATTGTCTGGACTGTTTCAGTGCTTTCAAAATTGGAGACAAATATAAAAACTCTTGATTTAAGTGAGGGGTGTGCACTGCAGGGTGGTTTGCTATGACGTTTTTCCAAAAGATAAATCTGAAATAAGTAAAATAAAATTTCAAAATGCTTTAGACACTAGCCCTCTGCATGTGCGTGTGTGTGTGTGTGTGTGTGTGTGTGTGTGTGTGTGTGTGTGTGTGTGTGTGTGGCATACATGTGTGTGTTGTGTATGGCATACATGTGTGTTGTGTGTGTGTGTGTCTGTCTGTGTGTGTGTGTGTGTGTGTGTGTGTGTGTTTAGGAAAAACATCACTAAAAACCCATGTTCACGTAGAAATAACTGAGGAGAATGACTGGAGCTGACCGTGGACTCTGCCCCAGCTGGGCAGCACTTTCCACCAGGGACATACTGTGCTTGTTAAATGAAAATAAACAGAATCCAGAAGGGGCTTTCGATTTTCTGGGTCACAAGCTCCTCCAGGCCTCTGCAGGGTCCCAGGTTCTAAAATAGATCTACACCCCCACCACCACCCCAACCTGGCAGGCCTGATCCCCTCATCCTGGAGGACAGCCAGAGGCAAGCTGGGGCTGAACTCCTGGCCTGAGAAATGACAGGCATGGCAGTGGCCCAGGCTGTGCAGGGCTGAAAAGACACACATCTTCCTCTGAGGTCCTCAGGGTGTCTGGCTTGGCAGGACCAAGGTAATGCTATTACTCAGTAGTTCAGGAGGGAGACAGAGGCCGAGGGGACTATCCACAGAGCTCAGGCGGTTGACCACAGAGGTCTTTGTGTCTGAGGCCCATCTGCCTGGGTTGGGGCTGACACATTGGGTGACTTGAGAGAGCCAGTTCAGTCTCTGGGCCAGTTTCTCCCGCAACATAATTGGAAAGAATTCTACCTTCTATTGCACCTTCAGTGTCCCAGGGACAATTTAGTGCTCTGAAAGACACTGGCTCTTTCTAACACCAACACAGGTGACAGTAGGCCATTTGGAGTTCTCTGATGCTTAACACTTAAGTTAGGCTGCCTCACCCCACCCTGTGGTGGCCAACATACCACCCAAAGACAGTACCTACCACGCTGTTCCTCACTAAGGGATGCTGAAGGCTTGGGCCTGGGGAACTTGGCTGCTTTCTCTCCCACCCTCCCTGGGATTCTCTGCCTTGGAAGCCAAAGGGCTGCCATGTGTATGGAGCCCAGGCCACTCAAAGACCAGACTGTCTTGGCTAACAGCCGCAGCTAAGGCTGCATATAGTGAGGGAGGATTCTTTTTCTTTTCTCTCTTTCTGGTGTGTGTGAGAGAGAGAGAGAGAGTGAGAAAGAGAGAAAGAGAGGGAGGGAGGGAGGGAGGGGGACAGACAGACAGACAGACAGACAGACAGACAGACAGACAGTAGTGGGGTGGGGTCTGCATCTCTGAATTTGAGTGCTGGGCACTTGAAATAGGAAATGTGATATATTGTTGTCTTGGGTGAAAGATTATTAAGCACAACATGGTGCCTGCAGCATGAAACTTGGTCCCTGGCTTCCTGGGGACATTGACAGACCATCTTCCACAGTTGCCATCCTCCCCAGAGCTTCCTGTTAGGACCTTACCATGCCCACCAGTGCTGTGGGAGGTGCCCAGGTAATGAGCTATGGGAAGCAGGTAGCACTGTGAGGCCAGGTTGGTGACAGCCCTCACTCACTACCCAGAGGATGAAAAGCAAGAATCTGGGGAACAGCGTCTGGAAGGTGCAGCATGACCGTCAGTGAGGATTTAGATTGGTGACATTCAGTTTTCTTTTTGCTCCAGATACTTAAGGAGACCAAATTAGCAAGTGGCTCACCAGGAATGGCTCATTGCTCACCTGAGTTCCTGAAAGCTTAAAAATCAGCTGCTTTGGACCTCCCGGTCCTGTGTTTAGCTTTGGGTGATGACCTCAGCTCCTGTACTGTATCAGTTCCCTTTGAGATAAGTGCAAGCCCAGGCCCAGGACCCCACAGGCTCACCGGGGTAGTGCAATGCCTCACATGGATGTCCGAGTTCCAGTGGAGGTGGGCTGGTGGGACAAGGACTTTGTGACCCTGTGGGTTTCCTGGAAGACTGCTGGAGTCTCAAGAGACCAGGCCCTGTTCCAATGCTCCTGGCTTTAGCACGCAGGGCAGTGTGACTAACGCATTCAGTCCTCCAGCTATAGCAATGGGTCCAGGAATAGCCATGTGCCCTGATCTGGGAAGTTTCCAAAGCTATCGGGGAAGAGGCTTTCTGTTTCTGAGGACTGTTGAATTGATTGAAGACAGTGGTGGCAGTGGTGGGAATTGTCAGAGGATAATGCCAACATTAGAAAATCACCAGAGAAGAAGAAAAAAATCTCCACTACTGTCTAAGCTCCTAGATCCAGCCCAATCTGATGCTAGATCTTGACTTCTCAGCTATATTGCTCACCAAGTTCTCTCTTTGACAAACCATCTGAGCAAAAGTCCAAGTGCTAAACAGCAGAAGTGTGTTCTCCACACTCTGCGTCCATATCTTCGAAATGAAAATATGCGCAGGAGTTGCTTAGGTCTCTATACTTGGAGGCAAGACACTTAAAATGACCAAAATGGAAGCTTCCTGCCACCCCTGCCCTGAAGGAGAAAGATGGCACCCAGGTTCCTCTTTGGGACTGTTCTGAGCCAGCTCCTTCCTGCCCAATGGAGAGAATTTTTCCTTCAATAAACTATTGTGCATGCGTCTGTGAACCTGATCCCTGGACAGGCACCAGGCACTAAGACAGAAAGAATGGCCACAGCCAGCGAGGGTGCTAAGCCTGGGCCTGAGCACAAGACTTTATGAGGCAGGGGAGTACTTTGGTAGGGACACTTGGGCAGGGGCAATTGGAGCAGTAATTAAAGGGATGGACAAGTCAGGCCTCCCAAGGAAAGTGATACTGCTAGTTGCCCCTGGGGTGACTTTCAGGTACAAGAATATGAGGCCTCAGGTGGCAGACAGTCCTACAGGTGTCTGTGAACAACCAGTATGGACTTCCAGTCAGAGGCTCAGAGCACAGAAGTTGGGCCCATGTGTGTGTGTGTGGAAGAGAGCACTTGATTGCCACCTTGGAAACAGACTATCATGCTTTCCTAGCAAGAAATAGGCAGCTGTCTGTGACAGTGACAGCAGAGTGTTCTGGGCAACACAGACTGAGAAGAAGCAGAAATCATTGACTCTCAGTTCTGGAGTTCTTTCAGGAAACCCAAAGCAAGGTGCTAGCTGGAAAGGCATCTGAGGACAATGCTCATGCTTCAGCAACTCCAGATGTCACTCAAAATCAATATGCATCCCTCCTCAGCAACCCCCACACCAAGGACTAAACCCTGGGCTCACCAAGCCCTTCTGGACCTCTTTTGCAAGGGTGTTAATTCTGTTTATGGGGCCCTGCCGGGCCCTACCCCTCTCCCCAAAGCCTTTCCATCTGATATATAGATTTGAATAGGTGCCAACCTATGAACCCCGGGGACAGACAATTCTCAGACCACAAGGAGGAATGACAGCTGTTCTTTATTTAGCATGCACTGTGCACTGACTGTAGGAATCCCTTTTCTAACCTTAAGCATTCAGGCAATGGTGGCTATTAGCCCCATAAGACAGAAGAAACAGTCAGTGAGGTGACACAACTTGGTGGCCACAAACAGACATACAGACCATTTAGAATTACAGACAGGCCAGTGGGCTCAGGGCACTCAGTACTGGAACAGGGAGGTATGTGCAAAGGCCATTGGCAAAGCAAAGCTGGCTGTGTGTGCTGTCTTGGGCAGAGACATAGAGGGAGATCATGACTCCTGGGCAAGTCCAGCTACAACGTTCTGGCTCCCACACAGAACACAAGCCAAGCTGTTTGTGCTTTCATCGAGAATTTTATTTTCAGGGGAGAGAGCAAACAAAGTCCCCCACTACCACAAATTATGCAGTCAAGTTTCCCACATTTGGGGGAAATCGCAGGGGTCAACACATCCGGAGTGCAATGGATAAGCCTCTCCCTGGGAAAGCCACCTTCCTGATCGTGGTATCTCCCATGCCAGGTAAGTAAGAATTTTAAGACATGATACAGAGTTACACTCAGCTTGGTGGAAACACTTGAAATAATTTCTGAAGCCAAATGGCATGAGGTAGTTTGGCCTTCACCTGGCTCTCTGGAGCTATGTGCCTATGCTTCAGTGGCATCATGAGAAACCAGCATACCGGAAGCCACTATGCTGGTAACATCTCTGAAGAGACCTAGGGAAGGTCAATTGCTGACAGATGAGAGAGGAAGCCTTCAAATAAAATCAGACCAACCATCACAATGCTGTGGGGAAGACTGAGAAGGCCTCAGGGAGCATTCTCATTCCTGGCCTGTGAGATGATAGCTGGTTGCTGTGATTAAAGCCACCGAGCACTGGGGTCCCTTGTGGGTGTTGTGATGAATGGAGAGGATAAGTGGGCAACAGTGCTCTGGACAGAGAATGGGGCATGTGCACATGTACAAAGGCCCTCAGAGAAGCGTGGGGCCGACAGGTAGCCATCCCAATGTGGCCACTGGAGAGCCAGCTCCTCTTTTTGTTTTGCCAATGTTCTTCTGTGAGGTATGACTGTCTCCTCTCTCTGCTGAGAGCTGTTAGCATAACCCTGTGTCTATCTGACAAGCCCTGTGCCTGGAGTGAAGCTGTGTTTCATTCATTCACTTATTCATTTGTTCTTTCCATCATCAAAGGTGTCTCCTGTGCAGGAGGCTTTCCATTGTGTCTGGAGTCCACGCCACCACCCACAGGAGGTATGAGCACTATTTCCTGTGTGGGCTGCAGACAGGCTGGGACGATTGAGGGTCTTGCCCATTGCCAGGGGTAAGAAGCAAGAGGACAGTGGGACGGGGGAGGGGGGAAGGGGTGCATAGAGGGGAAGGTAATGGCTGCTAAGCCTACCCACCTTGCCATCCCTGCCCCCATCCAGTGCAAGGCCTTTCAGACTGTGTGTCTTTGAGCAAATAACTCAATTGCTCTGGGCCAGGCTTTGTTTCCTCTGTGGTAAAATGGAGAAGAATCCTGCAGGTCTCGTTGGGGTCAAGAAGTATATCAGCCAATAGTCATGACGGTAGCTGCCTTTTAGTCTACACTCCTGTGTGTCAGGAACAGAGGATACACGAGGCTGTGCTCCTAGTCTGAATTTATGGGCTTCCTCCTCCATGGTCCCATCTGCAATCAAGATGACCCAGGCAGACGTGGCCTGCTGAGCTCTGACACGTAGGCAGGCATCTAGAATGCTGGCTGCTATCTTCATCTGCAGCTGTTTTTCCTACCAGATCCTCACACCTGGTCCAGGACTCAGGCCCTGTTCATTCATTCATTCATTCATCAGTTCAAATTCAAAAGAGAAGAAACACTACCATGAAGGTAGGCTGCCCACATCCTAATGGATAGAACCCAAAGGCAGCCCGCTAGACACAGCTACCAGTCCCCAATAACCATGGCCCCAGGGACAAAGCCCTGCACTCTCAGACTTTCATTGCAGTATCCAGAAGAGAGAGAAACACAGCAAATGGAGACACCATGCCTCCTTAGTGTGTCCCTGCATGGCATGGCCTGACTCAATTACTTGCATGCTCTGTGAAGTGGACACTGGCATTTTTCTTCCTCAAGAAGAAGCCAAGGCACAGAGGTTAAATGACTTGGTGACAGTCACACAGCTGGTAAATGGTAGAGCTAGATTTTGAAGCGTAAACTGAAAATTCCTCAACTCCCTGAGCCAAGACTTCCAGCATTCCTCAAACAAGAGCTGGGCTTTGCTTTGTTTTGCACAAGGAGTGTGAGATTTAGGGCCAGGCACCTCTGATTCTAGGGGTACTGGCCAGGATACTCCCCAGCCCAAGACTTACCACCCAGAACAGGAAGTCCTGGGACAACCTACCCAGGAGACTTCTGATTCCTGGCGCCACCACGAAGCCAGGGCCACCACAGGGCAGAATGCCCCCGCCCCAGGGCCCAAGGGAGAAGGGAGGCCAGGCGCCAATTGTGCTGGGCACCCACAGGACTCTACTCCAGCCATGGAAGGCTTTCTGTCTCCAGGCTTCGTCCCCAGCCTCGCCTTGCTCCCTCCCTCCCCAGGCTGCTCTGGGGGTCACCGCCTGTGTTCCAAGCCTAACTTGGAATCCGAGGGAGAAGGTGGAGGGGCTGAGAAACTTGAGAACCAGGCTTTGGGGGACAGCAGTAAGGGTGGGGAGAAGATAAAGCTGGGGAAAGGAGAGGGAGAAGGTTCAGATGCTTCCCACTTGGGAGGAAACCTTGCATGAGCTGTGGTCCAGCGTGTGTGTGTGCTGTGTGTGTGCTGTGTGTGTGTGTGTGTGTGTGTGTGTCTGTGCGTGGGGGGGAAGGCCAGCCTTGAGCCTGGCCAGGGAGGACAGGCCCCACTGCACAATCAAAGCCTTGTGTGTGTGCGTTGTGGGTGTGTGTGTGTTTGTGTGTCGGTGCGTGGGGGGGGAGGGGCAGCCTTGAGCCTGGCCAGGGAGGACAGGCCCCACTGCACAATCAAAGCCTCAGAGGCAGAAGGAAGAGGCAGAAAGGGACAGAGAGAGGACAGAGGTGCCTGGGAGTAAGGGGGGGTGGGAGCAGGAGGCGAGGCCTCACAGGGGAAGCCAGCAGCTGTGGCTGCCCTGAGTATAAATAGCCCAGAGGAGCTGGCCCTCAGAACTTACAGCAGTAGGACTCTGCAGCCACAGTCTGTCTTCACAGGCCCCAGCTGCACGGTACATCTAGGCAAGCTGCTGGCTGTGGGTGGGGCCCCCCCCTGGTACCTCTGACAAGATCACCTCACCACCACTTGTTCTGAGATGCTCTGCCAACCAGCCATGCTGCTAGGTGGCCTCCTCCTGCTGGCTACCATGGCTGCAGCCCAGCAGAGAGGGCCAGCAGGCAGTGGGCGCCGCCAGATTCAACTGGTCCAGCATGGCCAGTGCAGCTACACCTTCGTGCTGCCGGAGCCTGATATCTGCCAGCTGCCCCAAAAGGCTCCTGATGCTTTTGGGGGCTCCAACAGCCTCCAGAGGGACTTGCCTGCCTCCAGGCTGCCCCTGGCAGACTTTCGAGCCCAGCGGGCCCAGCGTGTGAGGCAGCTGGAGAAGATACTAGAGAATAACACTCAGTGGCTGCTGAAGGTACAGCTGGGGTTGTGTGATGGGTTGGTGGGTGGCTAGGGGACTACCCTGTCATCAGGTGGCGCATCAGTCCAGAGGTGTTATCCCAAGACAGAGGAGCTGGGGCTCTGTGTTGAATAGAGCCTCTGGGATGTGAGGTCCAGAGAGGGCCTGGGATGACGATGCCTATCGGGCCTCATATGTAAGGCTGAGCACCATTTGGCCCAGAAGCCAGGCTTCTCACAGATGTTCATTCATTCATCTAAGAGGAATTTGCTGAACGCTGACCATGAGTCAGGACCATTCTAAGTGTCGGGCATCCTAGCAGGAACAGGACAATACATTCTTATCTAATGGGCTGGGAAAAGAGCGAGAAAAAGTTGTCTACTGTATAGCAGCAGACAGAGGCCGAGACAGGAAGAAGGCAGAGGCTGGCTTTCCCAGGTCAGATTCTTGGAAAATCCCTGAGGAAGTGAAGAGAGCAATGGGTACCTGGAGGGCATCTTAGCAGAGGTGAGGGTACAAGAGCACTTAAGTTGGGGGCGGGGGCACAAGGCAATCGTGGAGGGATGATTGGGCCACAAAGGCCCTTGGGACTTTGGCTTCTAAGTAACTTGGCTACCACAGTGTTGTAAGCTGAGACTAGTGGATTTGGTTTAAGTAGAAAACATACAGGGTAGAATGGCCTCTGAGAGGCCAGGTTTGAGGTTTCCATGGATACTGCAAGCTCTATACATGAGCGTCCAGAGGCCTACAGGATTGCTATCTGATTCTGATTTATTGTGAGGCTATCTGATGAACTGGAAGTCAGATGGCCAAGAGCCAAAAGGCAAGTACACCACTGCAGTTTGGGCCCAGTGCCAGAACCAGGAGGGTCCCTGGCTATCCTCTGCGCTTCCAGCAAATGCTGAGCACAGTTTATGCCTAGGTGAGCACTGGGTACAGAGTGCAAGCTTGAAGAAAGCAAGCTAGGCTATGAACATGTGGGCACCTGTCTTGTGGGACCAGGATGTGGCCAGCCAGAGTCCCTGAGGAAGGAAGAGTCACACACCAAGAAAAGAGAAGGAGCCTACAGCCATGTGGGAAAGGGACTGGACCAATCCATGGAGGTTTAAAACAAGGTAGACAATAGACATGCCTGGCAGCCATAGGCCAAGTAGGATAACGGCCATCCAGAAAGCCTCTCTCACCCCTGTGGTTTCCAAACTGCTGGGTTTTTTTTTAATTATTATTCCATTCATTAACTTACTTATCTGTGTGTATGTGTGTGTTGACATGCACATGCCACATGTGTGAAGGTCAAGGGATAGCTCATGGAGTCACTTCTCTGCTTCCACCATTTGGGTCCCAGAGTTCAAACTTCAGTCATCAGGCACATCCGCAAGTACCTTTATCTGCTGAGCCATCTTGCCAGACCCTGTCCCTGAGTGTAGCCTCCTGTCCCTGCCGCATCCCAGATGCTGCTCCTTGCCCCCTGCCTCTCAGGGCTTCCAGCCCACCCTCATCCTGTGTCCATGCCCCAGGGAAGGCTTTGTCGGCTTCCCACACTGACTGCTCCAGGCTGCGTGGAGCCTAGATCTGTGGGGCAGCCGTCCCCAGTTCTATGAGATGTCTGAGCCAAGCCTTCCTCTATAAAACCTTCCTCTTCCTTCTCTATCCACCTCTCACCAGATGTGTTCTACAAACAGTAGAAGCTATGGTGATCGTCCCATGCCTCCCAGTCCCCAGACCTTCCTCAGGCTCAGGGGGAATAGGACCCCTCAAACCTACTCATCTTCCCCGCCCACATCCCTGGAGACTTTCCTCTCCCTGTTGGTCTGCTCCTCGGCATTTGACCATCCCAAAGCATCCCCCATGCTCAGGAAGATGGCGGTGTTGGAAGCAGTAGCATCTCTAGACCCTACTCTGCCTCTTTGTCCTCCCCAGACCACCTCCCAGGTCCCAAATCCTATAGCCACAACTCAGCTCATCTTAGACCTCACGACAATGTTGGAGGCCAGCATCATCTTCTCGGGTCTGCCCAGGAGTGCTCTTCCTGCACCCAGCCCATCTCTCACAGCCATTCCTGTTGGTTGGCTTCTGTGTGCTCACTTACCCAGGACTTGCCACCTATCCTTTGGATACCGCCTTTACTTTCTGCTAGCTCCCTACCAGAAGTCCCACCCTCTTGTCTCTTGAGTCCCCTCGCCCTGGTGCCTGGGAAATAGCTGAGTCAGTAAAAGAATTTGACTTGACAATCTTTGAGAACAGTCACGTAGTCTAGGTACAGCATCCTACCTGGGCGTCACCCACCTAGGGAGTCCTGTGGGGTTGAGGAATGGCGAGAGTCCACCAGCCTAGCCTCACGTTGGTAGGCCAGGAAGCACTGATTAGTCGCATGGCTGTGGATGAGCAAGCCTGTTTCCTCATCTCACAGTAGGTCAGGTGGTGCTGGGAACATTGTAAGACTCTCAGGCACCCCCCTTTGCTGTGTTCCAGTGGCATGAACCACACCAGCATGGTGCAACTCACCAGGCGCAGTGGCAGTGGGTTGATGGGTTTGTACCCCCTCGGCACAGTCCATACCTGAGTCACCCCAACTCTGAACTCACCATGGCCCCCCTTATTCACGTGGAACAAAGGGCAGTGAGATACCCCTTGGGGCATACCATCCGAGTCGTATTCTCAACAGGTTCCCAATCTGGGCAGTCTTGCCGTCTTCTGGGTAAGGGGCCTCTTGGATTTAGCGTGCCCTCTCATACCCCTCAGCATTCATGCCTGGTCACCCAAAGCCTGTAGAGCCCACCACAGATCAGACCTATGAACCTACACTTACCTAGAAGTCACTTGGCTTGAGGGGAGAACTCTGACCCTGAAGCTTCAGTCATACCTTCCCTTCAGGACTGACAGAAGAGGCCTTACCTCCCCAAGCCTCACTAAGTAATAACACTGCCCTCCTCCAGGAAGCTTTAGCCAGACAATGCCCAGGCCATTTTTTGTCCATAGGGTTCTTGGTGAGGCTGGGTTGTTTGCTCTAGGGTCCTTGGCAAACAGATGTGAGTGCGAGCCCTGAAGGTTGAAGTCTTTCATTGCCCTTTCATATACCCCTGGCTCCTTTGAATACACACACACACACACACACACACACACACACACACACACACACTGTCCCACTTGAACCAGGCAGGGATGTTGTGCCTTCTGTGACTGCATCTGGGATTCTCTTTAGGCTCCTGTCCCTATCTGGCATGCCTCAGAGCCACTGAAACTCAAATTCTCCTCTTTGGCTTTTTTTTTTTAAGTGTTTGAAAACATTCCCTGATTACATCTTCACCACAACAACTCTGCTAAGCCTACCCAAGCTCTCCACCGCAAGGTCCTTCTCTTAAGGCTGCAGGGGAGCCCTTCCCTGTTGTGAGCTCCAGCAGCCAGCACCTACCTGCCTGTCTTTAGCTTCCTGCCTGTTCCTGCAGTTTACCTATGTCTTCTCCGCACTGTGGAAGCTGGGTGCTGGAGGGCACCTGGAAGTCACCGCCTCCCTATTGGGGTCCTACCACCCACACTCATGTTAGCCCCAGCCTCTCCTTCCTTCTCTCACTCTTCCTCCCTGCACCCCTCCTTTGCCTTTCTTCATCCTACTCACCTCACCCCTCGCTCCTCTTAGAAAGCTTCTGCTCATTGACTCATGACCCATAATGCTTATCGTGGGCTCAGCTCTGCTCCGTGCCTCCACCTGGATGAACTCCTGTGGCCAGGAAGGATGGGAGACAGTGAATGAAAGGGGTTCCTGCCCTAGTGTTGCCCAGTGGTTAGCCCCAGAACTTCCAGGGAGACCAGGGACCTTTACTTAGGACAGCAGCTATAAGGCAAAACAGCAAAGGCAGAACAGCTCCCTAGCTGAGACCTGGAGGGCGAATGCCTAGCCACAACTGCTGTTCCATAGATGTACCTCTCATTACTGGGGTTCCCAGTTACTTGTCACAGGCAGTGACTGGTCTTGGGTCTTTCCGACATAGAGTGTCATCCTTGATGTTTCCCTGTCCCCACCTCTCTCTCTCTATGAATGAGGAACACCCAGTCTGGACCCCAGTGCTGGGCCCTAGTCTATGTCCACTGCCTGAGAGCAGCAACCACCCAGCAAGCTCAGGTCCTGTGCTTCTTGTTCTGGGTAAATGCTGCCTTAGGGTTCCAGGGCCTGCCCACTGCCCCATGCTCTGACTCTGTCTCCCTGTTTCCATCTTTCCTTCTGTCTCTATCTGTCTCTGTGTGTCTCATCTTGTGTCTTTTTCTCTTTGTTTCTATCTCTGTCTGTCTGTCTCTGTGCCTCTCTCTGTCTGTCTATCCCTTCCTCTCTCCCTCCCTCCCTGTCACCTTGTGCTTCTCTCTCTCTCTCTCTCTCTCTCTCTCTCTCTCTCTTCCTTTCTCCTTCAGGTGCTCCCCCAAGGTCCCTAAGCCTCTCCTGCCTCTGCCTCTTTGGGTGTCCAATATGGAGACCTTGGACCCAGGACCCCAAGGCCGATGCCCACTCTCAGCCAAGTTTCTTGGCTCAGGTCCCTCTGCCCCTTCTGACCACAGCCACGGGGTGGGGGCCAGTCAGGCTTCACTGATGCGCCGGCTCCTGGCAGCAAACAGATTAGCTGAGAGCCTCAGCCCAGTGGCCTGGCCTGCAGGCCAAGGGTCAGGAGGGCGTTCAGCAGGAGCCTAGTGTGGGGTCCTGGCCCCGCCCAAGACCCTTCCAGGCTGACAGGAGCTCCCAGCAGCCCTGGCCTCCCCAGGCTGCCTGTAAATTCTTGGCATTTTCAGCCTTCGGTTATGCAAACAAGAAATAAATCTCAGTTGCCACAAGAAATAAATCTTGGTTGCCGAATGAAATAGCTTGGGGTTGATTTCCTAACCTCTCCACTGGCTTTCTGGGCAGTCGACGCGGGGGCTGGGGTGGAGCAAATGGTCTCTGCTTCTCAGAGGAACAGGATGAGTTTCTCCAAGAAGGGCTAAAGCACTGCTGCTCCAGGATTCCTGGCTTGGGATGAGCAATTTGGCTG